GACTGACCTTACTTTGGCTAGGCAAAGTGAGGCAATCAACTCTTCAGTGCCCTGCTTGTCCACAGTTTGGGTTGGGTCCTGGAGGTAGGTTCTTCATTGGGGCAGTCTTGCCCAGTGATTAGCATTACCATAATCCAGGTGGAGACATCATGGTGCCCCATCATCTTCTTTGGAGATCCCTGGGTCACTGCTAGGAACTAGGAGGCTTTGTCTGTCATAGTAATATTTCTCCATTAAACATTTTAAATGCTATATTCATCAGATCTCAGACAAGTTTGAGGACCATTATCTATTAAGTCTATTTGAGCTAAAAAAAATCTAGGCTTAACCTTGAAAACATATATAACTACAAGTTTGATAATTATAGATGACTCCTAACCTGTATTTCTTAATTATACATTACATTTTTAAATGAGCTGCATAGATACAATAACTTAAACAAGAATAGAAATATATATGTATATATATATAATATAACAAAAATAACCTTAAATTTGTATCAATATATAAAAATCCATGCCAATGTGAAATATTTGAGACTAGTAGTTTTTTTTAGTTTAAAAGTAGATTCAATAATCTACCTTTTAATCCTGTCATCTTTATTTTAAAAGTAGATGTAATAATATACCCTTTCCTATATCTCCCTCCCCCTTTTTTGGGAAAAAGATCCCTTAACTTACCTCCTTTGTTTGGTTTTCTCCCTGACCATGACCAATAACAACTTGCAACCAACATCCCCAAACGATGACAAACATCCACCGAATGACCAGAAACCACCCACCCCTTGGGAATGTGGGTGACCTGCTCTTTAGACTGCTTCCTAGGGGTGACAGCATCTCTAAGGGACCCTTAGAAAATTGAGATAATGGTCAAGTCCTGGGGGAGATAGCTGTGCTATTTTTTTTTTGTTTAGTCTCTGTGTAATGGGAAAGTGTAGAGCTTATCTGAAGTCTTGGTTGGAGAAGTCTGTAAGGCTGGACCATCTCAGCTAGCAGCTTTGAAGTTGTTCTGGATGTAGATTTTTGAGGAAACTGTAAACTGAAGCATTCTGAGAGGCTGGATCACCTGAGATACTTTTCTTATTGATCTCCTGTTCTTTTGATCTGAAAACACGCAAACTTTTAAAGGTAACATACGTATCTGTATTATCACAAGTATAGAACGTGCAGTGTGCACAAGTCAGCTAAAGATGATTTGTTTTATGCTTGAGCAGGTAAAAGACATCTGTCAATTTTATGTCTGTTTGGACAGTATAACCAAACTGTTAGGAGGATTCTGTAGCCAACAAAATTTATCATATCTCATCCAATCTCAGAGCTGTTCCCATGTAGAAGGATCAGCTTATACATCACCTATCCTGTGGTCATTCTTGGCTTCCTCCCTCACATCCTCAGCCAAGATCCTCAAGAGGTCTCCCCTAGTCAAATCTGATCTTTATTAATTTTGAAGCAATCTATAGCTTTTTGTTTCCTGTGGAAACAAAAGCATAGCCTTTCCCCCAAGGCAATGCATTTCCTGACTCCCATTCTGAAGCCAAGACATCCTAAAGTATCTAGGCTGGTTTAATTCAGTAATTCCTTCCACAATCCCATGTCTCTCAGCAGCTGCCATTTGTTCATCAGCATTTCAAAAATTCAAAGTCAACAAAGCACCATACAAGATCCAAGTGCCCTGATTATTTCCCAACCTTAAGTTTTTAATATTATTTTACTCTTTCTTTAAGGAGACAGAGAGAAATAGGGC